CATGGAAAAGAAATCTAGAGCATAGTTTGTTAATGATTGTTAAAAATCTCTCACCACTCACCGCCTTCTTCCTAAACTTCGTGATTTCCGCATCATTATGGTTAAGGTTAATATATAGTCAACCAATTTGGCGGCCTTTCACACGCCGTCCATCCTCCTTCTCCCTTGTTCTCTTCGCCCCACGCACCTTTCCTCGCGAGGAAGAGTTACATAGGAGGAGAAGGAAGAGCGCCTCCACCTTTGATCACACCTATCATAATGTCCTCCTTCTCTGCCTTGAAGATCCTTCCCTCTCACCCGATCGCGGGAGAATACCGTCGCCACTCCTCCCCCTTTCATGCGGCTCCAGCCAGCCGGCTTTTACGCTCATCCGGCGCCAATTACCTCTCCTCCACGTCCTCCGTCACCGCAGCCGGCCGCCCGGTTCGTGTACTCTCCGCGAATGTCGTCAGCAACGAGAAGCAGATCGGCTCCGCTTTAGCTGTACCGATCCATTCACACCCCGTCGCCTTACCCTAATTTAACCGATCTCACCGTCCGATCTTACAATTATCGTGTTTTTTTTTCTTTCTCAGGCGATCACCTCCAAGGAAGCGCTGGATTTGTACGAAGACATGGTGTTGGGGCGCTCTTTCGAGGACATGTGCGCCCAAATGTACTACCGCGGCAAGATGTTTGGCTTTGTTCACCTCTACAATGGCCAGGAAGCGGTTTCCACGGGCTTCATTCGGCTCCTCACCGCACGCGACACCGTTGTCAGTACCTACCGCGACCACGTCCACGCGCTCAGTAAGGGCGTTCCCGCCCGGGCCGTCATGGCGGAGCTCTTCGGGAAAACCACTGGCTGCTGTCGTGGTCAGGGCGGATCTATGCACATGTTCTCCCGCGAGCACAACCTCATCGGTGGCTTCGCCTTTATTGGAGAGGGCATACCAGTCGCCACTGGCGCCGCCTTCTCGTCCAAGTATCGCCGTGAGGTCCTCAAGGAGAATTGTGATGACGTTACCATAGCGTTCTTCGGCGACGGCACCTGTAACAATGGCCAGTTCTTCGAATGCCTCAACATGGCAGCGCTGTGGAAGCTCCCCATCGTGTTCGTGGTGGAAAACAACTTGTGGGCGATCGGGATGTCACATTTTAGGGCCACGTCTGACCCAGAAATATGGAAGAAAGGGCCGCCCTTTGGGATACCTGGAGTGCATGTCGATGGGATGGATGTGTTGAAGGTCCGGGAGGTCGCCAAGGATGCCGTTGCTAGGGCGAGGAGGGGAGATGGGCCGACACTGGTGGAATGCGAGACGTATAGGTTCAGGGGACACTCGCTTGCTGATCCTGATGAGCTCCGGAATCCTGGTTAGTATGTCTGTCTCAAACCTCTACCCCCTTCTCCCTCTCCTTTCATTTATTTATTTTCATACTACCATCCTTGGAATTATAAATCTATTTTGATTTTTTTTTTTTTGCTTTTTTGATTGAAATGATGTGCTCTGTATGCTTACTCTGACTTGAATTGGCTCTATTAATGTAATTATATGAAACGTATTGCCTCCATTTGCTCTTTCTAGCTTTCATTCTTCGAAAGATTAATTTTTTATATTCTGTTATATTTTTTGATTAATCCTCTGATTAGGTGTTAAAAGGTGGGGCTTTATTTTCGCCAAACCCGTTGATCTGTGCTTTGTTTTATGCGCACACTATGCTCTGCGTTCTGCTTTTCTGATTCCTATGTCATGATACTCTACTTTGAAATACACCAATTCTAAGCAGTCCATACAATTTGGATGCTGCAGTGCTTTCCAAAGTTTCCTTTGGTAATAAGTATTGGAATTAGTGTGTTGGATTCAAATTTATTTGTGGGCAACACATTGACTCTAGTTGAAAGATTAACCAAGTTTTTTTAGAGCAAGAGAGGAAGAGAAGGATGATTGAGAAGGGAAAGCTCTAAACTTCAATTTCCCTATTGCGAATATTAATTGCATGGAGTATAAAATTTCATCTCAACCCTATATTCATAGGGTTAGGAAAGTTATATGAGAGGTTACACCCAAGGAATACTAAAATAAATATATAATTTGACTACTATAGACACGGGGGTATCCATCTCTTGAGTGACCATAGGATACCTTCGGCAAATGCCTATGGTGTGTCTCCGACAAGTTCCTCCAACGGTTCTTCCGATGAATGAGTTTTTTGGTTTAGGTTTTGATTGAATTAGTGAAGTTGTTATTATTGGGTGGATGCATTTCAATCTAATGGGTGCATAAACTTCTATTCAAGGCAAGTTCTTCTAACATTAATACTCCAATTAGACAAGTTCTTCTGAGATAACTGCATCAATTTGGCGAGTTACTTTTAAGGTGAGCGCTTCTTAGGTGGGTACCCTCTCATTGTGGTGAGTGCCCCCTTGGACGAGCTCTTAGTTAACTTCACATTAGTAGATTGTGGTGCAATCAATTTAACAAGTCGAGTCATACTTGAGGTTTAAGGCTTTCCTTCAGTTTTATGTGGTTGGACTTGATAATTCTAAGGGATTAGGCATGAACCCGAATGGTCAAGTTGAATTTATTAAACATATGTAATGTTTTGGGTGGGCTAGGCTAAATGGAACCATCCTTGCTTAAACGTAAATCATTAATGTAATCATGTTGGGTTTCAGTCAAACATGGGTGCTCCAACCAAGAGCATGGTTTGGTCATCCACACTTAATTGGTTAAGTTAACCCCACTCGTAATGTAGTGTAAATTAATAAAACAGTTGGTTTAATAGTGAATCTTCCTAGCATTAATCCAAAATGATTCTTTATTATTGCATCATCATTTTCATTATTAGCCTTATCTTGACTACTTAAAGTTGGCTATTTGAATCCTCATTTTTCATTCACTCCATTTCAATATTTCCTGTTGTGTTAAATCATTCATATTGAAGTCTATTATCAATTGCCTTGTCTTCAATAGATGTAATTCCAATCATTCTTTTAAAATCATTATTCCTTAAATTGACATTTCTATTTTGGGCACTTATCCATTTTGATGTTCTTATTTTTACCATACTCAACTTGAATATCAATGCCTTCCTTACCTCCCTTATCAGCCTAATTGAGGTTTTATAAAATGTAGTCTTTAAGTCTCTATTGTATCCTCTTATTGCATAATACTCTTAAGTCATTTTTCTGTTTTACCTGCCGAACCTTAACTTAAAATATTATATCCTTATTGTTTTCTAGTACATCTAACTTCATTAAAGTTCTTAAATCTCCTATCTAGTTTTGATTATTTAAATATTTCTCTTTTTCCTTAATTTTTATCTAACTTTTTAATAACTCGTTAAAATATATAACTTTTTTTTGTTAACTAACCTCTTCATGAAACTTTCTAGTTTCATTAGTGTTATGTTTTCCTCTTTAAAAAGACAATTATTTATCTTTATAAATTGCTCTTTCTCACACCAACATTGGGTTTCCTTATGTAGATCAATTTATATATTGTCCTAAAACTTTTATGACAATCTTCTTAATATAACTAACCATTTATTGTATCTAAAGTTTGGTTCAACTATATAATTTTGCATATTTCATATTCCTCTTTCTTATTATTTGGCAAATATTTCTTTTGATTAATTTTAACACTTTTAAGATATATGGAGAAAAAGGATTCATGTAGCCGACCCCACATAGTGAGATAAAGGCTTAATTTTTGTTGTTGTTGTGGTGGTGGTGGTGTTTGGTAGTTAAACTTTCTCTAAAAATCATTCTAAAAACTTTGTAAAAAAAATTTCCCATCATTCGTTAGCACTACATGAAAATTAACAATTACCAGCTGCTTTTTCTAGTGGTTAGGTTAAATTTTCCGGCGGTTATAAAAATTACCAGTGGTTCTCCGGCGGTCTAATAACCACCGGTATAAACCGCATAGGAAACGAATTGCGACGGTGAATTTCACTACAGGAAAACAGCTCATTTCCGACAGAATTTCCGGCGGAAGTAAATTCGTCGCAAATACCGGCGGATTTCCGACGGAAATTTTCCAACGATTTTCCGACAAATTTTTTGACTGGTTTTCCTATGGATTTTTTTCGAAGGGCATTTCCGGCGGACTTTCCAGCAGATTTTCGACATAAATTAAAAAATTAAGTTATATTGTAATAACTTATTGTCAAATTAAATTATTTAAATTAAATATATTTTTTTTAAAATATGACTTAAATTATTGAATTTACTAATATAAATTATTTAATTTAATAACATAAATTATAATAAAATAAATTTTAATTTAATTATTTAATAACAAAAAAGTAAATGATTTAAATTTAATCTTAAATTATTTATTCGGAAATGCAATTTTCTGACGGATTTTGGCCATTTTCCGACAAAAATGGACGCCGGAAAATGACGTTTTTCATGTAGTGTTTCCTGCTGTTAATTTTACCGACAGCGTACACAACTGGTAATTTCCGGAGGTCATAGCGCTGGCGATCGCCAGTTAATTACCGGTGGCGTACCGGCCATCTCAATTGCCGGTTTTACCGGCAGCTATATTAACATTCCGACGGTTCAAATAAGTGTCATGTAGTGTAGGATAGGTATATATTTTTTATTTGGTAATTTTTTAGTTTTCAACTATATGATTTTCTCATTTTTAAGTATTTGTTTACTATATCAAAAATAATATTCAACTATGATTATCATATTTATATTTCTATTCCATACTCATAATATATATATAATACACACACACACACACACACACATATATATATATGCTTGTTTAGGTCACCACAAATCAATATCCTCTCTTCAATTTTATGTAATAATAGTTTATCCATTTGTTTCTAAGATTAGAGTTCAAGTTAATGTTGAATCAAATTAAAGGATCATGAGTAGTAAAACCCACATTTATAATGCCCTCACCTATAGTTAATCTCCCTAACTATATTCACCTTAAAAGTTAACTTCTGTTTATTATTAATATATTTTTATTGTTAAACTTCCCAATAGATAATGGCTTATAGCATTTCCCAATGTGTTTGGATTTTTCCCTTAACATTCGCTTTCTAGCAAACCCATAATAAATCTTCTTCTTCTAATTATTGTGGAGACTAATTCTTTTGTATTTTTATTCATTGTTCACAATTTTATGATGATGATGATCATTTTTATCCCTATCCAAGTTATTTGTAGGGTCTATTTTATGATCTTTTCTCCATTCATTCTTCTTGAGTGTGTTACATGTGGTGTTAAACACATTATACACATAATGATAGGCAATTTCTATCAATGTTATCATTAGTTTACTTATATTCCTTCTTAATCCTTAAGCAAATTATTTTTCTACCCATTTTATTAGTGTATTTTCTATTAATCATTATAAAAGCTCTTCAATTTAATCTCCAACACCTAAACTTTGATAGATGCCACTCCCAAACCTGAACATAATTATTTGTCTACTTATCATTTCTAATTTTGCTATACCTCAATCATAATAATCTCAGTTTTGGTGTGCTCATTTTAATCATGATTAAGTTTTTATTGCTTAATATTCATAAGCAAAAGCATAGGTTATATAATTTTACTTTTGTGAAATTTATTCTTATGTCTCCATTTTTACAGTCTTATGCATAATACTTCTAACTAAGACATTACTCTATTTTAATGACATTGTTTTAACATTTGAAGTTATATCATCATCAATATTAATATATAAATATATAAATATAATAGATCCAAGATGGTTTTGTTGAGTCAGAAACAAATAATGCATATCATCTTGTCCAGGCATGAAAAACTTATACTTGATGGTTGTGTTGTTTATTGATCGGCTCTCAACATATATCCTCCATTAATTATCTTTTTTAGGAGTTAGTAAGTCAAGTATATTATGTGGACCAATTCTTTATTGAGGCAACCTTTTCCAAGTAAATCATTTTATTTTATTTTTATTTTTTATTTATTTCACATGTTATGTCAGAGCATCCTATTATGGGAGAGGATTGAAATCTGTGAACTAGAGCAGAATCTTGGCAACTCATTTTGACTAGTCCTTGAGTTTTAGTGTACTAAAACTCAGTGAATATATCTAAGAAATCAACATGTATATGAGTCTTTTATGGAATGTTGCAAAGTTTTTTCACATGGAGCATGTGAAGTAAAGCTAAGTAAAAAAACTCATTTAAGTCTAAATCTTATTTTCTCTGCTCTAAAATCATATCTAAACATGGGTACAGTAGTCTCTTTAGTGTGAAAACCAAAAACAATCTCTCTAATACGTGGAGTGTCAATGGAAATCAACTGCAACTTAGCACTCCTATTTTGATTAGGTACATGCCTTATCTCAGAACTTGATTTGTGTGGTGGTTGT